AGTAATATTACTGTCTAAGACAATAATATTAATTACAATATTTTTTTCTAAGAAAAAAAAAAAAAAAAAGTCAACACCGGAGACCGGCGGTTAGCGCCGGAATCTGGCGGGAAAAAAAATTTCAGAAAAAAAATTATTTTTCTGAAAAAAAAATATGAGGTTAATATGATATATTTGTTTAAATCTGGGGTCAATGTGTAATAATAAGAAAGTTAGAGCATAATGGATGGAATTGATAAAAATTATATTATGGAGGGTATTTTAGATGACTATAGACATAGGGATGTGTTTAATTGAGAGACTGTTTTTTTTTTGGACCAAAATGCATTTAAGTCCCATGTGATGGGCATTTTTACCATTATATATATATTACGATTATACATGAGGGTTTCAATTATATAGATATTATATAGACTATGAGGTTTTCAATTATACATAGAATATATACGATATTGTTATTAAATCAATAATTAATGGTTACCATAATAATCTATATGATATTACGGAAATATGTAATTCTTATAAAATATGTCATCTATGGCATTTTGGTATTAAGAATATAATATAATCTTATATTATATTATGTAAACTTATGATTAAATAGATATTATATGTAGTGACATATGGATCATGATTAGGATGCTTACGTGAATGGTAACATGGATGACACGTGTGTTAATGCTAGACTATGAGGGCTTCAATTTATATATTATATAGATTTTATTTAAAAATATTTTTTTTTGTAAAATATACTATGTAACTTTTATTAATTAAAGTTATATATTAAGTAAAATCATACGTAATCACATGCAACGGATGTGGTGCTCGGTAGTTAACTATTAAAAACATATAATAAACACAATAAATTAATGTGGTTCAGACCCAAATGTGTCCAACATCCAGGAGGACGTGCAAAGACGATTTCACTAATTCAGATTTACAGTGTAAATTAACAGGAATTAATAAAAATATAAAATACTCCCTCTTTAAACTTTATGTCGTTCTTGTACACAATTCGAACTTCGTGTTTCTTCACCGCATCTCCTCTTTCTCGATTCTTGAACTTTCTTCAAGCCTAAGCTTCCTTCAGAACGCGAATGAACCCTCCCGAGATCTATACAACAACTTTGTATATGGTAGCACACATCAACGAGGGCATTGTACTGCTTCACAGACTGCTCTGCACAACTTCAATATGATGAGTTGTTCTTCTCTAATAAAAGTGATGTCGTTCTTCAATGGCTTGCGAGACTAATATATGCACGAAATCAGCCTCCAAAACACTTTTCTTGAACTTAAAGAAATCGTGTAGTAGGAAACACAATCCTACACGATATCTATTTAAGATAAGTATCAAAAGATATTTAATCTGAAATAAATATATGTAAATAATCAAAGTCCTAACTAATTAAAACTATACAAAATATGACTTAAATCATTTCCTAAAATAATAACATGGAAATAAAGTTTTGGCAATGTTTAATTCCAAAACCTGTCGAATTTCATCAATCTTCAATAAACGAAATATGACGCAAACAGAATACATATGTACACTGACAAAGTTAGAAAGGGAAGAAAATTTTATTCTACTGGTGACATATAAATATATACATGCTTAGTCATTATAGCAACCTAGCACTTCTACACATGCGATGGGGGTAGCATTGCAAAACGAAGGAAAATGTGAATATATTATAATTAAATTTTTATATATAAAAGAAAGAAACGTTAGGACAATCTAAGAAACTCTAATGATATATATATATATTATCTCCTATATTGCAGACATTTTTCTCTAATTACTTTCACATTGATGTTTATTTGTTATAATTATTTTTTATTTCCTATTTTTCAGTTTATTTTCTCTAATTCTTCTTTGCTTTATTTATTTAATGATCAATTTCATATTATGATAATTGAGTTTTTTTTTTGCAATGCGTTTGCCGCTTCTCCCGACTGCACGACTTGGTTTCCGTGGCAGTTTGCTACGAATCCGAAAGTTTTTCGCACGCTTCAAGAGGTAAAATCGGATCCGTTTATAAATTAATATATTAATTAATATGATTAATTTATATGTTGATTTTTTGTCGTATGATTATTACTCGAATGATTTTGCGAGCATGTTTGTTTTATCAATAGCAAATTAATATTATTTATGTATGTTTTAATTTGCAGTGGAAGCAATAAGGTACTCATTAATTGCTATATTGTGCACGTGTTTATATGTTAAAACGTTTTTCATATAAATTTTTGTTTTTCGTTATGTACACGTGCCCGACTCTCAACAGAGCGTGCTGTTGATCAAGCACAACTCAAGGAAAGACATACGCGGTTGGCTGATTTCTTGGGTTTCCGATGTAAACTGATGGCCGTGGGCAGACGAGGTGAGGCAAGTGTTGAATTCAAAGGCATAAGCTGATGTTTTCGGTTCGACGAGGGAGTCGAACACCGTTGGTGGGGGAGGTCTGTTAACCCCTTAGTCGGTGACATCATCTATGACTCAAGTGTGGCGAGTCATGGCCGAGAAATTGTGTCAAGCGAGGGTTGACACAAGACAGTCCCACAATCGGCCAATGAGTGGTCGAGTATTGAGTTAGCATTTGAGGTGTTTGTCCGAGAAAGCAAGGAACGACTTGATTCAAGTGGGACGGTGATCGAAATTACTTGGCTGTTGGAACAAGTGAGTATCGACAATTATTGGCGTTTCGCACGAGCTTGTCTCGGCAAATGATATGATTAATACTTGGCAAGACTTGTGGCCGGCACGGGCGCTGCTCGACAGCCAATCAGGACAAGCATGAGTAATCGACATGTGGGCGAGAACTTGGGCGAACAAGCCTTCGGAGGGAATCGACCACGACTTGACAAGTGTGGGCAAGTTGGCACGACCGGTTGGCAAGTCAAGGAAGGTAGCCCAATGAGCGGGTATGCTAATGACTGTGTGGGGAAAGAACTAGCAAGTGATTGACAAGGCAAGCAAAGTGTGCGGACAAGGCAAGACAGACGGGCTGCCTAGCAACCGGCCGGGTTGTTGGGCCATTTGGCGCTCGTGCGCGTCTGAGCAAGGCAAGCGCCCGACAACCGACTATGTGGGAAGTTTGGAGGGAAGTTGCGGAGCGGTTAAGGCCTAGAAAGTATGCGAAACTTCCCCTTATTACTTGTAATAGCTAGCCAAGTGTTAGGCATGTGTGCCGCCAAGTGTCCCTAGGTAGTTTAATGTATAAATTACCTTATTCCTTGTATTTATAGGGTTATGAGTGGACAAATCTGGCCCATCTAGCATTACAAAGCAAATTGCAATTGTGGGCATTTTAAGAGAGGATTTTGTGTGTGCACCTTGTCTCATTTGTATTCTTTGTTGGGAGATCAATATAAAGATTGAGCATTGCCCGTAAACGTATTTGTGTGTTGTTTTCCGCTGCATACTCTTGTTTACGTTTGGTTGGCCTAAAAACTTTGTATTTGTGCGAAAAGAATTGAGAGGAAGGCTTACTGATCTTCTGTGGAGATTAGGCTGCACGAGCAAAATTTTCTTGAGTAAAAAAACCCCCTGTGATAGTTGGTCATCAAATGACCTGATAATTCACCTCTTTGAATGTAAATACACCTGCTAGAAATTGAATTATCAAAAATTTAACCATGTAAACATCCAATCACAAGTTGACACATAACAATTACAAATAAAACATCCATAAACTTTTAATTAATAATTAGCTTAATAACAATAGTTGGAGTAAATGAATAATAAATCACTATCAAAATATTGGACAAATGACAAATATGCCCATGATAAGGACACTTAATTAAAGAGGGAAATCCAACTTTTTTGTCTTTCAAATAAATCCAGCCCATTCAAACTTATTTGTAAATAAGGAAAATCCTTTTATATATACCAAAATTACCCCCAATTCATTGAAACCCAATTCAACTCCAATTTCATGATTTACACCCCCATTTAGCCCAATTTCATCAATTAACCAATTTTAACCCTAATTTCAATTTTGACCCCAATTTTGACCCGCCGCAACCGGAAACCGCCGGTCTCCGGCGTTGACTTTTTTTTTTTTTTTTGATTTTTTTTTCTAGTAGGTCAACTGCCGTTGACCGCCAGGTCTCCGGCGTTGATTTTTTTTTCTTAAAAAAAATATTTTAATTAATATTACTGTTTTGGCTGCTAAATTACTCCAGTAGTAATTTAACTGTCGGAGATAGTAATTTAACTGTTAATTGAATTTTTTTTTCTTCAAAAATATTTTAATTAATATTACTGTCTTCGCTGCTAAATTACTGTCTCCAGCAGTTATTTAACTATTAATTGACTTTTTTTTTTGAAATTGTTTTTCGTAAAAAAAAATTATTTTAATTTATATTACTGCCTTGGCTGCTAAATTACTGTCTCCAATAGTAATTTAACTGTCTTAGACAATAATATTAATAATATTACTGTTCGGGAAAATAATATTCATAATATTACTGTCCCAAACAGTAATATTACAGTCTGAGACAGTAATTTAGTAGCCAAGACAATAATATTAATTAAAATATTTTTTTGTAAGAAAAAAATTCAAAAAAAAAGTCAATGCCGGAGACCGGCGGTCAACGGTGGTTGACATACCGGAAAAGAATTTAAGGAAAACAAAAAAAATAGTCAATGTCGGAGACCGGCGGTCAGCGCCGGAATCTGGCCGGAAAAAAAAAATTCAGAAAAAAAATTATTTTCTGAAAAAAAAAATATTTTGGGGGTTAATATGATATATTTGTTTAAAATCCGGGGTCAATGTGTAATATTGAGAAAGTTAGCGCATAATGGATGAAATTGATAAGAATTATATTATGGAAAATATTTTAGACTAAAGACATGGAATAAATTTAATTGAGAGACTGTTTTTTTTAGACCAATGTGCATTTAAGTTCCATGCGATGGTCCTTTTGCCATTCGCCCCCTAAATTATTAGCTTTAAGTATCAATTTAGTATTTCATAACTCAATTTTTAAGTCCAAGATCGGAGTTGCTCTTTCGTGTTAATTAACAGAAATTGGGTAAATCAATTATTCATTTTGGCTGCCCTGTGAAACAAAAAGGACCCATCCCATCCCCCCATACATCTCCGATCAGATTTGAGGCAGACGGCAGATACAAAAGTATGCTGACGCAATTCGGGGCTACGGCGGAGTCGCTGAGTAAGGCGTCGACGATGGTGTTCCGTATCGGCACAGACGCCCATCTCTACGACGATCCAGATGACGTCAGCATCTCCCCTCTTCTCGACAGCAAATTCGACTCCGAAAAATGCGAAGCCCTCAAGCGCCTCCTCGCCCTCATCGCCCAGGGTTTCGATGTCTCCACTTACTTCCCTCAGGTCACCACCCCCAATTTTTCCAATTTTTCAGCTGATTTTTTTTTTGAATTTCGTCTTTCTTTCTTCACTTTATGAATTCATTTTTTCTTCGGATCACAGGTAGTTAAAAATGTGGCATCACACTCACTGGAAGTTAAGAAGCTTGTCTACTTGTACTTGCTGCATTATGCTGAAAAGTATGCCCTAGTTTTTTTTTTTTTTTTTTTTCAGTTGCGGTTTCTCTGTTTCAATTGAATGATGGAGATTTCTCTGTGTTCGTAGGCGCCCGAACGAAGCCTTGCTGTCGATTAATTACTTTCAGAAGGATTTAGGTGATCCGAACCCTTTGGTCAGGGCGCGGGCGCTTCGTACAATGGCGGGAATTCGCTTGCATGTTATTGCACCGCTTGTTTTGGTGGCTGTGGGAAAATGTGCTCGGGACCCGTCTGTGTATGTTAGAAAGTGCACTGCTACTGCGCTGCCCAAGTTGCATGATTTGCGCTTGGACGAACACACATCTGCAATTGAAGAGGTCGGTTTAATAATGGCTTCCGTTCAATCCTTTTTTGCTTTTAAGTTTCTATTGTTTTTGTGGTGTATTAGCTTTCATCCTACCCGTAATGTACTAAGAAAAATATTTCATGTAGCAAATATGATTTTTCATGTCTTTGATCTCTGAGTTTCATTAAGTTGATGCATGAGTTGAAAGCCGTCAGACAACAACTAATTGTATAAACAGTCAATTCAAAAGAAAAAGCTTTCATAAGAAACCAATTCAAAAGAAAAGCCTAAGATAATGAATCCTTTCATTTATATCCAACTAATTAGTTCTGATTATCATCAAGAGTGAGGTTTATCCGAGCGGAAGTGATACCATTCTTTGTGATGGTCAATCAATGTTCGGTTCTTTTTTTCATATTGCTTCTCTGACATCATTCCTTCTCTCTCTCTTTTTCAGGGTAGGTTTCTTACAAGTTGAATTCTTGATTGTTCTTTGTATTTCTATCACATTTAAGTAAACATGTATTTATGCTTGAAATTGCATTTCTTTAACTTCCTTCTGACTGCCAAATTTGAGTAAAAGATCTGTTAATATTTTACTTTACTACATCGAATTATTAACTAATACCCATAAAATGTGGAAGTATCCATTTTATTTTATGTCAAACAGTCTGATCGCCATATCAAGAAAATGTGCGAGATAACGGAAAGGGAACACCTAGGATGTATGAGATCATACCAGAGAGTGATTCAACATATAAAAATTCATGTAGATGTCAGCCCATGTCATACTTCCATCACAATCTACGAAGCCACATGATTTCGAAGCTCGTACAGTTCAGGAAGGGGCTTTGATTCCACATGAAAAAATAAACAACTTTTTCTTTGCGCATGCGTACTTGCGTAGTGACTCTTAATATTTAATCCATCTTGTGTCCATGAAGAGATTTTCCACACTTGCAATAAAGTTCTATATCTGTGAAATTAAAGAAAATAAGTATTCTGAACTCCAGCATCTGCTATGCTACTCATTTAAAAAAAAAATATCTGTACATACTCTACTTGCTATATTTTTATCATGTATTATATCACAGACAAGTATGGGAAATGCTGTTGAGGATATGATTTGATGAAATTGACTCATTTATTAAAAGTGATTTTTATCACTTTGTATAGGGAGTTTAGTTTAGCTCGTTCTCTTGGTATTTTCTTTTAATAGGCTATAGTTGCTAATTGATTATTTATATCTTGCAGATTATTGGAATGTTGTTGAAGGACAATTCTCCTGGAGTAGTTGGTGCTGCTGCCGGTGCTTTTGCTTCAATATGTCCCAATAATTTTACTTTGATTGGAAGAAATTACAAAAGACTGTGCGAGACTCTTCCTGATGTGGAAGAATGGGGGCAGATTGTCTTGATTGGTATTCTTCTACGGTATGTAATTGCAAAACATGGGCTAGTTGGAGAATCCCTGATGTTGTTTTCTGATGCTTTAGCGAAGCATAGTTCAGAAAAGGAGGATCCGGAGCCTCATCTTTCTGTAAGAAAGCTCGCGGATGAGACCAGCTTAGACATATGTACTGAGATTGTAAATATAGTCTGTCGAAGTTATCTTGAAGGACCAGATAAATACTTATCTCAGTTAGGTCATGTAAATCGAGATTCCCTTGGATTGGATGGTTCCTGCGTGACATCGGTTAAAAGCAATGATGACGTGAAGATCTTGTTGCAGTGTACATTGCCATTATTATGGAGTTATAACAGTGCTGTAGTGCTGGCTGCTGCTGGGGTTCACTGGATTATGGCGCCGAAGGAGGATATTGTAAAGATTGTTAAGCCTCTGCTCTTTCTCTTGAGGTCATCTAGTTCCTCAAAATATGTGGTAAAGTACCCCTTTATTTTGTGATATTAGTATAACAAAACCTCATCATAGAGCTTTCTCTGATTCTAGTTCCTTCCACTTGTTTCAGTTTGTACTGTACATATAAAATATTACTGCAAAGAGGTTAGTGATAAATTATTGGTATATGTATACTCGATATGAGTATGGTTGGTCTGATGGTGTTTCAGTGTTAGCTATCTGAAATATTGTATTCTTTTTTCTTTACTTATATGCCTGGAACTGTAACACGATCTGTCAGATGGCTATGAAAGCTACTGAACATATTGGTTTTAGTAAAGTATTCCTAATTTTATTGCATTAAAAATGTGGTCCTTTACCTTAATATATCTGCTAGGCTGCTGGTGCTGTTGACCATTATATTGTTTACTTAGTAGGTCAGGAATCTCTCTTCATAATCTGTTTCTTGTATTTTGTTGTTTATGTTGGTGGCTTTAACTCTTACAGAAACTTAGGCATCTTAGCATAGAGTTTCATGATTTGAAATAGTTTTCTTTCTGTTGAGGTCTTCAGCATCAGGTCCAGTTATCTATGTCGTTCATAAGATATGGATTAACCTCATTTTCGAATTACTGCAGTTATATTGTGTTCATCATATTTCAGTTCGCTTCCTTTAGTTGACCTTTCCACAATTTCGAGTGTGCAGGTACTTTGCAACATTCAGGTCTTTGCCAAAGCAGTGCCCTCTCTATTTTGTCCATATTTTGAAGATTTCTTCATCAGCTCCTCAGATTCATATCAAATAAAAACGCTTAAGCTCGAGATACTTTCCTCTATAGCCACATCCTCTTCAATTTCTGCAGTTTTTCTGGAGTTTCAGGTACTTTTATCTTGTAGTTTATTTTTTCTTCTTTTTATGAAATACAATCTAGATGATTTGGCTGCTTAGACACAAAGGTGTTACTTAGTGGCGATCTGTCCAATTCAGGGTTTGAAAGTCCAGCTTGAACCAGCATACCGACTGCTTTTCTGGGCAAGGCCAGTAGATAAAAAAATCAAGCAATAAAACAGTCGATTTAGTAATGAATTGTTCGACCCAACAGTTGTTTAAGTCGAAGCAAAATAGGTTGCTAAAATGATTCTGGATTTATAAAATTTAAATAGTTTTTGGCATTGAAACATCTTTTTGGTGAAAATTCAGACCAAAATGGAGAATAAAATGATAGAAAGAAAAACAAGAAAGAATGTTGAGCACCGGCAACATTTGCGGCTGTTACTACGAGAAGTAAAATAAACAAGACTAAAATATTGTTGGTGTAGAAGTTGAGAAATAATATGAAACATAAGAGAGGGTATTGAACTAATGATCTGTAGCCTGGTCAAATTTTTGGGTTGAGTAATGGTTTCAGTTTTCAAACTGTGGTGCAACCTAATCCATCTATGAGCTCCTTCATTCGGATGATTAAGAAATTTATTTAAACCAAAAAAGAAAATAAGATATTCAAACTGTTTTCTTGTCATCAAAATATTAACATTTACGACTATCTTCGATTGTTTACAGTGGTTCAACTATCTATCATACTGCATTTTGATTGAAATATTTGGATGAATCAAGTTAGTTAGTTTGAATTCCTTGCTTATAAAACAAATATTGCTGAGGACTTGAAATTTGTGATTTTTGCTTGTAAATGAATTTTGTCGTGGTCCAAAATCATGGAATAAAAATATGGATATGTACTGTATTTAAAGTTGTAAATCTAAATGCACCCCTAGATGGCCCACACCTTTCATTACAAAACTGTAACATAGCCTTCGGTGTACTAACATGCTTATGGTTAATGAATTTTGTATTATTTGCCAATTCAAATTATTGCTTGCCTTCAACAAATTTCCCTTTATTAAATTCCATTTTGATATATAGAATTATTTTTTTGTTCTTTAGCTGGTTCATTCCGTTCCGTGTTCATCTTAGTTAAATCTTGTCCTAATAGGATTAGTCTACCAGTCAATATTTTGTTTCTTCAAAATATGTCTTGGTGGCTGTCGATTTGTAAAGATTGTTTTGGTATTCTTGATGTAATTCTTGTTAAGTGAAAGCTTATCTTTTAGTGAATTCTCAGGATTATATAAGAGATCCCGACAGGAGGTTTGCTGCCGATACTGTGGCTGCAATGGGTTTATGTGCCCAAAGACTGCCTGATGTCGCCAACACATGTTTAGAAGGGCTATTGTTTCTGGCTTTAACTGGTAATTGCCATTCTTTTTGCATATGACTTCCATTGAAGATTGTTTTTATATAAGACTTCCCTTTATTTTCCTTGTCCACCTTTCAGATTCTTCAAATCGGGACGTTGCATCTTTGCGTGACGAAGAAATTGTATTGGTTCAAGTAATTAAGTCTATCATGGCAATCATAAAGCAAGATCCTCCTATTCATGAAAGAGTAAGTTTGTCATCTCTTTTTTCTTTGGTCGATTTTTACGCTCATTTTCTTTCTTATTTCTTCAGTCCCTACCGTGTGTGTATTTACATTTGAGAATTGAGAAAGATCAGCGCATTCTAATGTTTCACACTGTGCTGTGAAACATGGTAAATCACCCAAAAGACTTTTAGCAGTTTTACTTTAAAATACCTTGTTTTTTGAGCAATTATGGTGGGGATTTAAATGACTCCAAATTGTTGTCATTTCAAATCCCTTCGCCAAATCAAATCCCCCTTCAAATCCCTCCATCCAAATGGACCCTAAAATTGATTGAAATCAAAGGATTGATTGTTAGTCCTGGTGCCGACTTGGTTGAAGTAACTTCATAGAAGGTGGACATGACTCGGAAAATGTTTGTCATGCTTAATATTGGATTTTAGGTGGATATTGTCTTTTCATGCTTTGTTGATAGCTTAGTGTTTCTATATAATATATTCACAACCCGACTGATTGAATAGAGTATAAAATGGAGAATTGTTGAGAAAAAATAGGCAATAACAATGGGAATAATATAGTTCCAAGTGCTTTCTTACTTTGTGGGCTTCCTTTAGTAGGAAAGATTCTGAATTTATCTATATTTCAATTAGAAGTGACATTTATGCTTTTAAACAGTCTATAAGAGCTATATGTTTTAGTATGTCGTCGTTATGCATGTTTAGAGCTCTTCAGTTACATGGTCTCAGCCTATTCATCTCTAAGCTTGATTCGCATCTGTCTTTACTTGAGGTCGTTGCCCGCCTTCCTTTTCACTATTTGACCTCATTTATTTGTACAAATTGAATGAACGTCACTATTTTTTAGTAGCAGTTCTATATTCAAGTGATTTTCTAAAACTCACCATTAATTGAAGGTAATTGTTCATTTGGTGCGAAGATTGGATTCAATGTCTGCACCAGCAGCTCGTGCAATGGTGATATGGATGATGGGTGAGTACAGCAACATCGGGGGTCTCATTTCAAAGATGATTCCCACAATATTTCAGTATCTTGCCCAGCGCTTTGCCATGGAGGCGGTTGAAACAAAGCTGCAAATTGTTAATGCTTGCATCAAGGTAGTTTATAGCAGTAACCTTTTTATTTTATTTTATTTATTATATTTTTATGATTCCTCTATCACTTAATTGTATCTTTCACTGAATTCTGCAAGGGCGTTAGCTTCGTAAGATTATGAAGAAGTTCTTCTTCACTGGTGCATTTTTCCTTTTTATACTCGAAAAACCTGGATTTGCCCGTTAGAGTTGCATTCCTAAATTTTCCTCCTTCCTATATGTGTGGACTCATGTAGTCCACATCACAGTTTTGCCTTTTCCTTTCCGGCAAACAAACAATGAAACAGCTCTTTTATCTGTTCGTGCAAACATTTCTAATCATTCCTAACAATGTATTGGGGTTGATAAGTTACAGTATCTCAAATGATGTTTGAACTCAAACTCTGTGGTGGGCACTACTAATTTATCCGTCATGGATTCTTCTGCTTGTGATCTTCATTGATTAAGCCTCTACTTTCTCGGTTTACATTGCGACTGAGTTTGGAAGAGTTGAATGGAGGAGAGTAGGGCGAGGGGTTTGAAATTCTTCTCTTATTTGATACAATTGAAGGAGAGAGGGTGGGGAAAGGAAAGCATAACAATCTCACTACCTATTATTTGCCACTCCAGGACTTGGAATAAATTTGTCCTATCTAATATACTAAAGTATATGTATTTTATTATTTTGTTCTTGATTAATCTTCTATCTGTTTTCATTTTTTCTAGGTCCTGCTACGTGCCAAAGGGAAAGATATTTCTGAACTGCGAGTAACTGTTGGGTATATGCTCGAACTAGCCAAGTGTGACTTGAATTATGATGTTCGTGACCGTGCTCGTGTCCTGAAGAATTTTCTATCACACTCTATCGGACCACAGGATTTGGAAGAAGTAAAGGACCATACAGAATTGAAAGACCTGACATACGTACTTGCTGAATACATATTCGGGAGACAAACAAAAGTGCCGTCCGAATCATTTAGTTATCGGTTTTATCTTCCCGGTTCTCTTTCGCAGATTGTACTTCATGCTGCTCCAGGATACGAACCTCTCCCAGAACCTTGTAGCTTAGTTGATGATGAAACTAAGACTGGGGGAGTTAGTGTCAGTGATAGTGAACCAAATGAAATCGGCGATTCCGATGCCATGTCAGAATCTCTAGGTGAAGAAAACACGTCTGATTACAGTTCTCAGGGTTCCGATTCTGGTTCTGCTGGTGGTGGTTATGATAGTGCATCTGATGGTGATGTAGACGAAGAAGCTGGTGGTTCATTGATTCATCTTTCAGATAATGCTCCTGCTTACAGAAATCATATCGAAGGTTCATTAGAGAATAGTTCCTCTGGCTTGACGGATTTTGGTGAATTGATGTCGAAAAGAGCTTTGGAGTCGTGGTTGGATGAAAATCCTGGTTCGAGCCAGAATTCGTCTGATCTTGGTCATGTTCAGAGATCATTGGCCAGAATCTCAATTAAGGAAATTGGTCAGCTGGTTAAACCCAAGTTATATACACTTCTCGATCCTGCAAACGGGAATGGGTTAAGTGTGGATTATAGATTTTCATCGGAGGTGTCAAACATATCTCCACGACTGGTATGTTTACAGGTTTCCTTCATGAACAATTCCACAGAGCCTATGTCAAATATTGTACTTACTGAAGAGGAATTAAACCAAGGTCCCGATTCTTCTGAAAAATCAGTGTCATCAAGTGAAAGGTATTTTGAGCTAGAGCTTTGTAATTTGAGCTAGAGCTTTGTAATTTGAGTTAGCATCATATCCCATTAGCTTATCTTTCTTGATTATATATGTGTGTTTCCATCAGCATCCCTTTATCATTGTCTTTTACTATATATATTCAGTTCTTTGTCTAATAATTGTCTAATGGTCTCCAAAACAATCGGGATTGATGCTTTCGTTATCTTTATTTCCTTATTTACAGTTTCTCGGCGTCTCATGGAGAAGTGGCAACGTTAGCTCCCATGGAAGAGATTGGCAGCCTCAACCCTGATCAGACAACAAACAGAATCCTCCATGTTCGGTTTGAACATCATCTGTTGCCTTTGAAGCTGGTTTTATGGTGTAATGGCAGAAAGCAAACAGTCAAGTTACGACCCGACATAGGCTACTTTATAAAGCCTCTTCCGATGGATATCGAAGCATTTGTTAAGAAGGAATCTGAACTTCCTGGGATGTTTGAGTACATAAGAAGGTCAGTTACGTAAATTAGCTTATGCACATACAACTTCCTGCTATCACACGTTGAATACATAATTTTTTTTCACAAGTTTTGAGTTTCTCGAGGGGGACGGCTAAAACAAATACCATTTCTTTCTGACTTCAATACCACCAACATAAAAAATATAAAATAATAGGTAATGATATTAATACCCTTCATAAAATCAATACCACACAAATTTTGTGTGTGGTATTGATTTTCAATAAGGGTAATAATGTCATTAACTATTTATTATCTATTTATTTTTTATTTTTTATGTTGGTGGCATTGAAGTGAGAAAAAAACGGTATTCGTTTTAGTCGCTCCCTTTCTCGAGTCCTTGGAGAATCAATTTACTAACTGTGCAATTACTTCCCTTTTTCATGCTGATTGTCCGAGAGCTCTTTTTAGCTGCCAATTCGTTAGCTTTAGACATTTGTGTATCTGTTAATATGCTGTTTCTAAATATAAGTTTCTGTTTCCAAAATGTTTCTTCTTGGTTTTTATTGTGTAAGAATTATGCACTTAAATATGTTCCCTGCCGTAAACAACAGGTGTACTTTTAACGATCACATTAGCCAGCTGATTGACAAAGAACAGTTGGTGACGAAAGACAAATTCCTGGTGATATGTGAGAAACTCGCATTAAAGATGCTAAGCAATGCAAATTTATTTCTCGTTTCTGTCGACATGCCTGTTGCAGCTAAACCAAACGACGTGTCTGGTTTATGCTTACGGTTAAGTGGAGAGATGTTGAGTAACTCCATTCCTTGTTTAATCACACTTACCCTTAAAGGTTCTTGCTTTCAACCACTTGAGGTTTCGGTGAAGATGAACTGCGAAGAAACTGTTTTTGGTTTAAATCTTTTGAATAGGATTGTAAATTTCTTGGCTGAGCCGACCCTGTAATGATTTTACAGTTTTCAGAAAAAAAAAAAAAAACCGAGCTTATTGTGCTAATTTGTTTGTTACAGTACATTTTTCTTGATGTTAGCTAATCTCTCTTGCCTTGTGTAATGTAATAAATATACCAAAGATTTCGTATTGATCTAAGCGTAAAATCTTCGTTTCCACGACCAACTCTAATCATGAAATTACAAGTTCTTGGATATCCAACGATGGAAGAAATTAAGAAGTGTAGCAAGAAATATAAGATGTCACGTTCTGATTAAAAAGAATATTATACGGGAATCAAGTAGCGAAAATCAGAGGCATAAGGCTGGATTTCAATTCTATTTAGCGATGACGACGACGAAGATTCATAATTAGTAATATTATCTCCTCCGTTGAGGCATTGTATCATCAACCTTTTCAAAGAGTTGTTGTAAGGCAGTTGGCTGTATATCCATTCCACAAGAGATTCCATGTCGTCCGCAAAGTCTTTCATGTGCAATTGCATCAACTTCGGCACCAAAATCTTCTTTCTCGTTGTAACTATTCCGACTGCAGCTTCCAAATACTCTACTTTTGCTCTCTCTAGCTCATTCATCACTTCATCCGCCGTATAGAACCTCAACTGCATTATATTAATTAATTAATTAATTAATTATTCGTCAAATGTAATTAGTTTATAATATATGCAGGCAGCACTTACTGCTGGGGAAGACCAGGTGCCTCTGCATAGAGCAAAGGCAACATTGGGTTCCGGATAGTCGAGACCACTAGTATTGCGCCTTATAAGCATCTCCTTCTCTTCTCTACTCGTCTCCTGTACTTTAAACTATTGTTTGTCATATATATATATATATATATATATATATATATATATACACTATGTTATGCTTTTAATTAGATGTTTGATCTTGAGTACTCACTTGTTTGACTTCAGTTGGATGGCGGAGGATCAAGTTTTCGATAGTTGACGCCTTAAATATTAAACCACCAACATTTATGGCTGCCTGGACCACCACAACACACCATTACTATTTCGTTTTTCGTTTATTTTTTTTTCTTTCTTTTTTTTAGGTAAAAACGATGAATGAGAAAGAAAACTTGTTATTATGATGATGTTGTTACCTTGTTCACAAGTGCTTGTACTTTCTCCGGCGCGGACGGTAGTCCCTGTTTCAGAAATGCCTGCAATGTGGGACAATTATTATTTATATGAGTATAGTACTTCAATAAATAAAAAAAATAAATAAATTAAATTGGCATAAGAATATGTTGTTGTAGTAGTAGTATGTACATTCATTATTGAGGCATTATAAACATTGATCCAGAATGCCAATTTCTGCTTGTGTGAAAAACAATTTATGTTTATTTTGCTGAGTTTCTGCATCAAAACCCTGAAAAGAAAAAAAAAAAACACTATTCAATAAATCCAATATCTACAAAATTAAACGGAATTAGGTAGATAGTCACTCACTCAGTAGCTCACCTGAGTCTGCGCATTGCTGGTAAACATTCCGAAAGACGGGTTGGATCCAATGTACTTGTCGTGATTTGTATGAAATTCTTGTATGGTCCCACATCTCTGTTGTTAATTACATCAGGTAATTCAGGCAATATTTCGTATGGATCAATATCATGAGATGATGATTCACTATTGTGATTATTGAATGGAAATAATACAACGGGCGTCGTGCAACCGCTGAATGTAGTGGCTTTTGATATCCTTGTTTCCTTTGTGTTTACAAGTGTTGTTTGGTTAAGTTTCACAAATATGCCTATCAAGCACTTTATAAGTTCTACCGAGATCTTATTCGGCTCCACAACTTTACTTTCAGACCATCTCGATTTTTCAATTTCCTCTTCGGTTTCTCCAACTGCCAAACAAAAAAAAAGTTCATTGTAATGTTGTCGTTTTTAGGTATAAATTCTACTTAAAAAGCAAAGTTCTACCGTACTGTATTCGAGTTCGATGGAGGAACTGAAAGAGGATCTTCTTTGTCTTGAAAATCGGTATCTCCTTTGTTTGTTGTTATGTGATGTTGAAAGTAATGGTGTTTCAGTATAATTGTTTTCTTCGATTTGAGTTGGTCGTCGAGATCGTAGCTTTTGGATTTGTTGTTGATCACAATGTTGTTGTTGGTGTAAATGTAATAATCCTTTGAATTGGAGTATTTCCCATTCTTTGATATGTTTCTTCTCTTGGTATATATCTAACTTGAGTTCATTGATCTTTCTCTCTAACCAATCTATCTCTTCTTCCACTACTGCTACTTCTCCTAATAGCATTTGAACCTGCATTTTTATGATCATAATACTCTTTTCAGTTTTCAAGAAATCAATTTTGCTATTTCCTTGTTGCAGTTTCTTACAAAATTTGAATTTATTATCCTCATTTTTCTTAAACAAAACCATAGGTGCACTGGGTAAGCCTACACTCTTGATAGCTTGCAAACTAATTCGAAGTGAACTTTTTTTTTTTGGGGAATGAAAGAACCTGCAGTCAGCCATATAGGTGCACTGGGTAAACCTACACTCTCGTATAATAGTTTGCAAACCATACGAGAAAGGTAAACCACACTTGGCTAACTATGTGTGATACTCCACCTAGCGCGTCTGTGTGACAGACTTACTTGCCCCAACCGCGCTAGGCCATCCCTTAATTGTATATCTCCAGTATATAAATATTGATATGTTTGGAACTTGGTGAAAGAATAACACACACTAAACACAAAATATAGTATATATATATAAAATAAGAAAGGTACCTTGAATGGGAGCAATGGAGTTAGAGAAGAACATGATCCGCAGCAGCCAATTGGTCCCTTCATTGCGCATTTGAGAACCCTTTTCACTTGAAGCTCCTCTTCCAACTCTTCCTCCAATCCTTCAACCTTTTATTAATTAAATCAATGCAAATTATATATATAATATATATACATATATATATATATATATATATATATATATATATATATATATATATATATATATATATATATATATATATATAGATGATTGAAACTAATAAAAACTATTGATCCATCAAGAACACGAAAATCCATCGAACCTGTTGTTGGAGTTGAAGTTTAGTTCGTTTATCCTCACGTGGCTGCATCAATAAATCTTCCAGTTTCATACTTGACAAATTAATCCACAAATGTGTTTGTGTGTATATGTATGTATGTATGTATGTATATATTGGTGGAGATGAAAGAGAACGTGAGTCAGCACCGCAGCTAATTAAGTTATAAGTTGATGAGAAATGAAAAGAATGAGAGGTTATAGAGAGACGTGAATCCCATGATTGGTTTTAAAACTTTCAACTGTTTCTTTCTTACTTCTTCATTACCAAAAATCCTAACAATTCACAACCTGTCTTTTTTCTTTTATTTTTAAAACATAAATAAATAAGACTGAGAACATACATATATATTGTGGACGACTACTTGAATCTTTTCACGGGTCCAACTTTTTCCATTAGAGTATATTAATGATTTGATTATAAATAATTAACTAACTAAAGTGTCAACCAACACTATAAAGTAAGGGGCCTTAAGATATCGGTAGGTTCCTAATGACAAAATTTATTAGAACTAAATAACAAGTCCAACTAAACCTTTGCTTCACATTTTTCGTAAAATTCATTCCAAAAATGCCTCTCCAGTACAAAATTCAAAATTTGCATTAAGTAAATTCAAACTGCATTTATCATTTTATTATGATGCATTTAACTTTTCCATTTTTCCATACGTTTTTTTTTACAGAATACTGGTTTGTTTGTTTTTCCTTTCGTGATTTTATCATTTTATATACTATTATATTAAAAAATACCTTTTTTTTTTTTTTTTTTTTCTACATAACATTGAAAATTACAAAAAATAAAAAAACATGTTATTTATCTTTTTTTAATTTTAATTTTATCTTCTATCAAAAAATGTAGTTATATATAGTCATCGTAGTCACTATCGTGCTTGCCGACATCTAAAACTTGAATTTTATTTTATCGCACACCATATGGTTGTTCATATACAAAACAAAAACTTTACTACGGTGTACTATGGTATACTACGGTTTACTATGGTATACTACGGTCTACTATGGTTTACTATAATATACTATTCCAAACCCTAGCAGCCAACAACTCCCAGCCGTCACCAACCCTAACCATCAACGGAGCCACCGTGAAACCCCAGCAGCCAACAACGCAGCCGCCGCATCCATAGTCACCTACCTCTTTTTGAAAACCCTAGATCTACCATGTTGAACCCCAACGTATGCCGGCCCGCAATCATCTCGCCCTAAGAACGTTCTCAATGACCTGCAACAAGTCAAATAAAATAGCAAATCAGATACAAACCAAACAAAATCTCTTAAAAGTCAACAAAATCATATGCAATTAATCAAAATATACTATCAATAGCAGATCTATACAAAAAATGAAGAAATAGCAAATCTATATATATATATATATATATATATATATATATATATATATATATATATATATAAAGAAGAAGAAAAAAAAAACCCTGCTCCCTTCGCCACGCAGCCGCCGCCGCCGCCGCCACCACCACTTCCCTGTCGCCCCTGGCCTTTGTGCTTACCGGATAGAGCGAGATAGAGGTAGCGAGGTGAGAGAGAGAAAAAAAAAGAGAGGAAATTGACAGAAAGAAAACGAGAGAGAAGGGGAAGGAGAAAAGACGAGAGAGAAGACTAAAGAAAATAAATAAATTTGAGTTGAGATACGTGAAGTTATATGATTTAAATAAGGGCAAAATAGAGATATAAGAAAAGTAAGGATGTGAGTCATATATTATTTTAAACTAAGGATTTAAGTAAAATATTGGATTTAAACTTGTCATTTAGTTCAAATTAAGTTTGATTTAAGGGGCTCATAGCATATTACCCCATAAAGTAATGCTTAATCCTATTTTGCATCCTTGAAACATAGTTTTTTGGCACTTTGCAGCGTCGAAAAAAATTAGGGGTTATTTTACATACCTCCCTAGCCACCAAATAAACTAGGGATAAACCCAAGCCCAAATCATCATTTGACATACCCCCATCGAGAAGCGAAAGTACTATACTACCCTTATATGCAATTTTCGACGAAACTGCATTCAACATTTCTGGTCCTGCATTTATCATTTTCGCTGATTTATTTATTATTATTATTATTATTATTATTATTATTATTATTATTATTATTATTATTATTATTATTATTATTATTATTATTATTATTATTATTATTATTATTATTATTATTATTATTATTATTATTATTATTATTATTATTATTATTATTATTATTATTATTATTATTATTATTATTATTATTATTATTATTATTATTATTATTATTATTATTATTATTATTATTATTATTATTATTATTATTATTATTATTATTATTATTATTATTATTATTATTATTATTATTATTATTATTATTATTATTATTATTATTATTATTATTATTATTATTATTATTATTATTATAATAATTAATAAACTTGTTTGTTAAATTTATATATATATTTATTTTTTTCAATTTTTTTAATTTTTTTAATTTAAAAAAAAATTAATTTTTTTTTAATTTAAAAAAAAATTAATTTTTTTGTTTAATTTTCCAAACAATATGTTTACTGTATTGAAAATAACTACATGTAACTATAGTACCTGTAGTAATTCGTAGTTATGTTCGTTTTTTTACCCCATATTTTTAGTCGATCAATTGTATACACACGAATACTGGCTTATACAAAAAAAATATATATAAAGCCCAACAAAAATTTACAAAAATCAATAGTTTTAATATAAATAACCTCAGAACCAATAAAAATACAAATCGAAAATACAGAAAAAATAGGCACATGCAACTATATGTATAGTAATGTATACAGTCTGTTGAACACTGTAACTTGAAGCAGGTGTAACTTCAACCAAATTTTTGAGACCTTCAAGGGGAGGATCAATGGCTTTCATTAAGCTGCAATTGCAAAATCAAGACAAAAAAAAAAAAAAAAAAACTACTTTAGTGCAAATCAACCAAATTTGAAGAAACATCAAAATACTCTAAATCAACAAACACTAAGAGATCGAGAGATAGAGAGAGGTTATTGTTGGGAAATGCTACAGATTTTAAATCAAACAGACAGTGACTCCTCACCCCCTCGCCTCCTACCAAATCCCTAGCCGCCGTTAATAACCACCCACGGTTCCGCACACCCACAAATGCAAAAAATATAGAAATAAATCTGAAAAATATAGAAATAAACGAAATTACCATCAAAATATAGATCTCGACGAGAGGAATCCAACGGTGGGTAGCCCATCAAATTTCGACCGGTGGAACACCAAATACACCTCCGGCAAGACCACCGTCGTTGAATGAAAAAAAATTGCAGAAATAGATCAGTGCTCCAAACTGAATGAAATCACCAAAAAAAGAAAGAGCTCGACGAGAGGAATCCAACGGTAGTTAAACCATTGAATTCCGACCACCGGAGAGAGTTATGACTCCGGGAAGCAATTTCGCCGGAGAGAGGTTTGTGGATGCGGAATTTTGAATCTGGGAGAGAAAGAGAGAGACGATTGTAGTGGCTAGGGTTTAAAGCTGATTTTAAAAGGGTATTATAGGGACTTCAGGGTGGCCCAGGGGGTATGTCAAAATATTTTCGAAATGAGGGGGGTTTCCCCTAGAGTGTAATCCACTTTGTAGTTAGTTCTATATAATTTGGAAATGAGGGGGTTTACAAAATAATCCCAAAAACTTTATAGCACTTTACACTGTTGAAGTACAATAAATTAAGCATAATGCACCCTAAATTAATTTTTAAAGCTAATGAAGATAATTTAATATTTTTAGTTGTATTTTTTAAGATGCCAAATGTCAAATCATTTTTTTTATTCATGAAACTAAATGTGCGAAAAATACATATAATCATTATATGTAATTGTTTTTTTTCACAAAAAAAATCTACAAAAAATAAAAAGAACAAACATTCTGCGGCTATTTTGTTATTAAATTATTTGAAAATTATATTTTCATCTAAATATTTCTACTAAATATTTTCACTAATTATAATAAAAGACCCATAAATCAAATAATTTAGTGATAAATTTTTTTTGGAAATAAATTATCATATTGTTCAGTTATTCGTCTCGATTTCCTTTTCTTTTGCATTTTGTATTCTCGAATTTATGTCGGACGTGGAAAAAAATAATAATTTAAATTGTTATTTTGCACCCCGGAAATAAAATACCAATACAAATTGAAATTACCCTTCTTAAGTTTAAAAATTCAATTCATGGTGCAAAATGAAAATGTTTCGAGGGTGCAAGCCAAAATAATATATTTCAAGAGTATAAATAAAGTGGGATTAAAAAACTTACAAACTACGCCGTCTGTGGGAATCGAACCCACGACCACATGGTTAAAAGCCATGCGCTCTACCAGCTGAGCTAAGACGGCCTTCGATTCAAAAAATGCAAACATATTTAGACATAAATAAATCCCTCACTTTTGTATTAATGGCAAACTTAGTAATGAAGTTGGTGGGCAAACAACATTGAACCCCTTATGTTAAGACTTCAGACCCATTAATTATGTTAGATAAATTTGTACCAAATTCCGTTGTATTCACCCTTATGTTTTATTTTATCTTGGATTAAATTTCCTATTTGGTTAATAATTAATGCTGCCAAGTATGGATGAGATTTTAGACATGCCCACGGTTGACGGGTCAGAACCGCTGGCTCCAACAGTGAAAAAATACAAACCGGAATAGACCAAGGAGGAGCCGGTTGCTTGGACGGTTGTGGGGTGGTTTTGTTGGGATTCAACATGTTTACACGCAAAGGAAATTAGAATTTTTCTATCATGGGAGTTTCTATGAATTTAAGTTCATCAATTTTCTTAATCAACTAGCATTAATTATCACGTGTTTAAATTAATCTAATAACAATTATATAGCATGCAATTGAAAATATTAAAATGAGATTCAATTACTTGTTTTTGCGAATTGCCTTCTTCGATTTTTGTGGTCTCACCGAAGTCCTTGCTAGAGCAATCCACGCCAATTTTTTTTCCAGAATAAGGTTTCACCTTGCAGAGATTTTTCCACGAAAGGGATTGCACTAAAAAAATATGGGTTAATAGATGAAAGAGAACGAAGGAAGAATCAAAGAGGACCGATGATGCGGTGGCAGGCGGCGGCGCGACGATGACAAATAAGAGAAGGGAGCTGCCGAATTTTCTCAGAGAAAGAATCTTTGGCTACTAGGGCTCATGAAGTTGTTGCATCTTTTGGATCTCTAGCACTTTGAATTTACAGTACAAGAATCCTACTTGTCGTACAAG